TTCTGTCACAAAGGCTGTTTGATCCTCAGCAGAAAACCAAAATTGACTGTGCTGGGCCCTCACTGATTCCTAATAAATATTTGTTGACAATTCCAGACATTTAATAAGCAGATTAAAGCCAAAATTTCTAAGGAAAGAGACCTAAACACAAGTTTGTGCTCTATTACGAAATACTTTGCATCCAGCTGAGGACTCAGCCCAAAAATCCCACTTTGCCACTGAGGAAAAGTGAAAACACGTTCAGGATCAAGCAGAAACTTCCCATCTTTAACTGCACGTCCAAGAGGCCCACGAGAAACAGACGTTTTCCATCGCCTTCAAACAAGTCCCACCACACAAATGCCCCCGGAACAGATGGAAAGCAAACTCATCCCAGGGATTCATCCAGCTTGGATCGTTCACCAGAAGCACAACAAGCCTTGAGCGACACGGAAACGGAGCAGCAAAATTCACTTTCTCCTCTTTCCGTGCCTTGGGAAGCAAGGGGAGCGGGGTTTTCCATGGTGAAGATGTCAATGAAACTCCAGTGCTGGGCACCAGCTCCGCGAATTCCTCGGGCTTGGGCACACTCCACGTGGCTGAGCCAAAAGCCAGAGGGCACAGAAACCACTTGCTGGGCTGCAGAGGGTGATTTGAACCACGTGGAACACGTGAGGGACAGAAGGACGACCCAGAAGGGTGACTGGGATCGGCCAAGGGCTCTGCTGGGAAGGTTTGTGGTGCCCAGAGACTGGAAAAATCAACAAATCCAGCTGGAAATTACAAAACAAGCTCAGCTGCTGTCGGTGACAGGTGCCTATCAAGCAAATCCTCCTAGTCAATGTCTAAATGGAATCCTGGAATGGTTTGGGTTGGGAGGGGTCTGAAAGCTCATCTCATTCCACTGCCACGGGCAGGGACACCTTCCACTAGCCCAGGTGGCTCCAACCTGGCCTGGGACACTTCCAGGGATCCAGAGGCTTCTCTGGGCAATCTGTGCCAGGGCCTCCTCAACCTCCCAGCCAGCAATTCCTTCCCAATATCCCATCTATCCCTGCCCTCTGGCAGTGGGGAGCCAAAATCTGGGCATCTCACCTTCCACCCCACCTGCCCCCGGGGTTGGATCCGCTGGAACAGATTTCCTGGCTCAGCCAAAGCCGAGCAGACCCTTGGAAAGCAGAACAAACACGGGTAAATCCCACATTCCATCCCGTCCCCCACACTTTCCTTTTCATCAGGGAGAAGTTCTCCTCCCCACCACCACCACTTGCCCCAGCAGCTGGATCCTTCCAGAAAGGAAGGTTTTCATTGGATTACTCAGCATTTCACAGAAGCGCTGCAGGAATACCTTAAAAACACTTTCCAAAACCTCCAGGTGCAATAAAAAAAGGTTTCGACCCTAAATGTTTTTTACAGGGACACCTTGGCTCAGTTTGAACGAGAGGCAAACACGACAACTTTGGATGCAGAACCTCAAGGGTGATGTTTGTTCTCAGTTGTGGTGGGGCTTTTTTTTTTTTTTTTTTTTTGACAGCAAATAAATATGGCACCAGGTAACAAGAAAACAATAAAACTGGGAACAGGCTCTAAAAATGACAATATCAAAGAGCGATACGGGGTGGGAACCGGGTGTGTGCGTCAGTGCCTAAAAAAACCAGGCGGGTTTGCGTCTTTGAAGAGGCTTTAACATCTTTTTCTGTAGGATCCCCAGCTCTCAATTTATAGAAAACAAATGCACAAACAGGGCTGGAAGAGTCTTGGAGAAGAGCTGGGAAGGGAAAGAAGAAGTTCCCACGATAAGGGAACGGCAGAGCTCGTCGGACACGGCGACAGAAGGATTCCTACACTCCAATGTACAGTAGGTTTTAATTAAATTGCAATAAAGAGCTATATATATATATATGTGCATTTTTTCTGATTTATACTAGATGGCTTCTTTAAATTCTAAGCCAAGTTGGTGTTTTTTTGGTTGGGTTTTTCTTTTTTTTAAGGAAAAACCTTTTTTTTTTAAAGAAAAAAATAATAATAATTAAAAATAGAAATGGCGCTGCAGCAGCAAACGTTTGGAAAATTTTGGGAGCCGATTGTTTATTGGGACCCCAACTGATTTTAATGAAAAATATGGTTATAATTTAAAATAAAAAAAAAAAAACCCGGCACTTTTATGTTTTGCATAAGGAAAAGTCCCTACAATGCAACCTCCAGGGCACTTTTTAAAGAAGAAGAAACTAAATCTCCAACGGGTCGCGGGGCTCTCTGGCCAAAAACCCCTCCTCGAAACCCCAAAGATGTGGGTTGCAAAGCATTTCAAGCATCCACAACAAGTGAAACTGGGGATGTAGGGAAGTTATGTTCTCAACATTTACTCCTGTTTCTGGTGAAACTGGAACCAGATGAGCCCTCCCCACACACACTGTGTGAAGGGCTGGTTAAGCAGCCGCAGATGGAGCCCGACTGCTGCTCGCTGAACATCCGTGGTGCTGATCGCTTCCAGCCAGCTCCACGAGGTCAGCTGGGGGGTAATCTGGGATGATCCCTCCCCCTCGGAGCATCCAAATGCATCCCCAGGTTTGCTCCAGCAAAGAGCAGAGCACAATTCCAGGGAGGGATGTTGACCCCTCTGTGGGTCATCTCCCTGGGGTTGGGATGGTGGGGTCAGGTCCTTCTCCCGTGGGTGGCTGTTGCGTGTTGGTTCTCCCACGTGGTTTCCCTGCCCCAGCTCCACCATCACAGCCCTTCCCTGCTCATTCCAACACAAATGTTATCCCAGTTTGGGTCAGTGTCGCTGTGAGGTTACAGGAAAGATCTCCCAGTGACCCTGACTGGGCTTGGATCGTCCTGGGCTCAGCCAGGAGAAAAGGAGGCTCAGGGGGGACCTTCTGGCTCTGCAACTCCCTGACAGGAGGGGGGAGCTGGGGAATGTCGGGCTCTGCTCCCAGGGAACAGGGACAGGAGGAGAGGGAACGGCCTCCAGCTGTGCCAGAGGAGGCTCAGGTTGGACATCAGCAGGAATTTCTCCCTGGAAAGGGTTGTCAGGCCTGGCAGGGGCTGCCCAGGGAGGTTTGGAGTCTCCACCCCTGGAGGTGTCCAAGGCAGGCCTGGCCGTGGCACTCAGTGCTCTGGGCTGGGGGACAGGGTGGGGATGGGGCACAGGGGGACTGGATGACCTTGGAGGGCTTTTCCAACCTTAATGATTCTGGAATTCTATGAAATTTCCCACCACAGGCAGTGCCTCCTCCACCAGCTTTGCAGAGCACACAGGAGGCAACTCTGCCATCTCCTGTCTCACCTGGAAACCCACGGACACTGCCCCAACACGGACCACAAAACTTCCAAACCAGACTGAAGGTACCATTTACCCTTTTTAATCCCTCCTGAGCTAACAAAGCAGCAACCTCTGGGATACTTCCAGGGATGGGGCACCCACAACTTGCCCAGAGAAGCTGTGGCTGCCCCTGGATCCCTGCAAGTGTCCAAGCCCAGGCTGGACGGGGCTTGGAGCAACCTGGGCTAGTGGAAGGTGTCCCTGCCTGTGGCAGGGAGTTTGGAATGATCTTTAAGGCCCCTTCCAACCCAAACCATTCCATAACTCCATGACAAAACAAACCACACCGAGTTCAGGAGGAGCCAAGGTTGTCCAGACATCAAAGGGCTGGAGACGACGCCCCTTTAATTACAGAAACACCATCCCCTAAATGCCAACAAACCCCTAAATCAGTCCCTCCTGTGCCAGTGCCCACTTGGAAAAACGAAGTTTTAGAAGCAGCAGCCACATTTTTACCCCACTTTTCGGATAATTAGAACACAAGTCACCATAACTTGAGCAGAAATCTACAGGAACTCAAAAATAGATGGAAATTGGGAATAAAACAGCACCACCAACAGTCCCCACTCACACACACATGTACACACACATATATATGCACACATTTTTAGAGAGGGCTGCTTTCATCAAGCTGAAAATAATTATGAGGCAAATCAGTTGGGAAAAAGGAACGTAATCAGAAAAATATGAAGACTAATTGAAAATTGTTGAAGAACATTTTAAGTAGATGCTCCAAAAGCCACAATCCCACAACTGAGAGGGGCGGCCACGCCGGTTAAAAGGCAACCTGGCTCAGAGGGAGGTTAAGGAGGCTGTAAAAAAAAAAAAAAAAAAAAGGAGGAAAAAAGAAAAAAGGGGACATGACAAAGGGAATAAAGAGGGAAGCTGAAGCTGACAAAGAAAAATCAGGAGTTGGGAAGTGCAGAGAGCTGATATGGGAAGCAAGAGGGTACAGGGAGAGATCAGTGGCTGGCTGGGTTTATCCATAACACTTTAGAACACTCCAAAATGGACTGATTGTCTAAAGGGGGATTTTTGGAAGGGTTCAAGGGCAGTTTGGATCCAGGAATCCTTCCTTCCAGGTTGGAAGGGTTAAAGACCAGACCTTGGAGCAACCTGGTCCATGGGAGGTGTCCCTGCCCGTGGCAGGGGTTTGGAAGTGGACGAGCTTTCAGGTCCCTCCCAACCCAAACCCCGGCAGGATTCCATGATTTATTTTTTTTTCTGTGCAGAGCTGGGAATAAATGGTCAATACTATCTTGCTGTGCCCTGCTGAGGGATCACAGCCCTGCAGAGCAGCATCCTCTGGGATTGCCATGGAATGGGATGGCAGGTGGGACAGCAAATTGTACAATTCAGATGGACAACCACGGCCACATTGTCATGACTCCTCCTAACACGCTGGGATTAGTTCTGATATCCAAACTCAAGAAGGTTGGTGGAAAAACCGCTCTTGTTTCACAATCCCAGCAGATAACCAGACTGGAAAACTTGGGAGTTTTCCCACTGGGAAGCTGATTTCCACCACAGCAAAGGTTAGTGTGAGCTGTTACGAGTTCAGCCAGGGGACTCAGCTTTGCAGTTTAGTGCCACAAAAATCAGTATTTCAAATTATTTCAAAGGTGGACTAGAAATGAGGTCCATGTTACTCTCAAGGAGAGGGAATTAGTGAGATGACACACCAAGTGCAGAGTACCTGAATGTTTGGAGAGAGCAGAAGGCTGAAGAATATCTTGGCAATTATTTTCCACTGATTGTATCTGCAATCCTTTAGGAAAGGAAGGGAATAAACATTAACAAAGGAGGAAATTACAGTGAAGAGAAGACAAAGAGCAGACAGGCAGGAAAATTCCTAAAGAGTGGAAGCAAACAGGGCAGAAACCTGACAATGACACGGAATTTGGGTGTTTGCACAACTGAGGACAACGAAACAACAACGGGGAAATTCAATCCACAGCTGCTACGCTTGGAGGGGATGGTTTGGTCATGAGGTACAGCACAGTGAAGAGCAAGATCCTGCATGTGGGTTGGGAAAATTCCAAGCAGAAATACAGGATGGGCAGTGAAGGGATGGAGAGCAGCACTGGGAGAAGGATTTGGGGGTGTTGGTGGGGGAGAGGCTGGAGATGCCCCAGCCCAGTTTCCCCCCCGTGCCCTGGGCTGATCCCCCAGCGTGGGCAGCAGGACAGGGGGGGATTCTGCCCCTCTGCCCCCTCAGTGAGACCCCCCTGCAGAGCTGCCCCAGCCCTGGGAACAACAGCACAAGGACGTGGAGCTGCTGCAGAGAGTCCAGAGGAGGCCCCGGAGATGCTGCCAGGGCTGGAGCCCCTCTGCTCTGGAGCCAGGCTGGGAGAGCTGGGGGGGTTCCCCTGCAGAAGAGAAGGCTCCAGGGAGACCTGAGAGCCCCTGGCAGGGCCTAAAGGGGCTCCAGGAGAGCTGGAGAGGGACTGGGGACAAGGCCTGGAGGGACAGCACACAGGGAATGGCTTCCCACTGTCAGAGGGCAGGGAGAGATGGAAGATTGGGAAGGAATTGCTGGCTGGGAGGGTGGGGAGGCCCTGGAATGAACTTCCCAGAGAAGCTGTGGCTGCCCCTGGATCCCTGGAAGTGTCCAAGGCCAGGTTGGAGCAACTTGGGCTGGTGGAAGATGTCCCTGCCCATGGAGTTGGAACGAGAAGATCTTTAAGGCCCCTTCAAAGACAAAGCACTTCATGATTCTACAAAACACCAGATTTCCAAAGGTTGGAGATGACAAAACCACCATTGCTGCACCTTGAGCTGCTTCTCTGTCTGGAGTAAATCCAGGCAGCAGAGCCCCCACCAGCTGTGCCCTGTCTGGGCTTGCTGTGCTGACCTTTCAGATTGTGTGTGAACATTTAAACCTTTTCTTCTAAAATGAAATAAAAATAATAAAAAATGAAATTAAAATAAAACTAAAGCAAAGTAAAAAATTAAATTGAAATTAAATTAAATAACTAAATGAAAATAAAATTAAAATTAAAATTAAATACATACATGAAAAAATGGAAAAATGAAAAACCGGAAATAAAATAAAATTACATAAGAAGTGTTGTCCTTTAAGCTGCCCAAACACCTTTGTCTGGAGTGAGGACAAACAGATCACACTCTTAACCCTGGAAATGGTTGAGTTTGGAGGGGAGAAAATAGGTGTGTATATATATATATATATATGTAATTTATACAGTATTTATATATTGTTGATATATTACATATAAATACCTATAATTTATATATTATTTATATATTTATATAGTGTTTATCTATGTGTATATCTGTAATTTTATATTATTTATGTGTTTATATATTATATATAAATATGTTTATTTGTATATTATTTGTCTTTTATATTGTTTATATCTAAATATCTATCTAGATATATAGAGAGAAATATAAATAGATATATAGCTATATATTTATCTATATATAGAGAGAGATATCTAGATATACATATATAATATGGGGGGAGAGAGAGAGAGAGAGAGAGAGAGAGAGGTGGATAGATGGATACTGATATATTAAAATTCCAAGAGGCACCAATCCCCCATCCCATCCCTGATGGTCCCAGCTGGTACCAGCCACGGGAATAATCCCACAAAAATAAATATATGCCCCAGACAACCAAAGAAATCCTTTCCCAGTGAGTGTTTCGTGCTCTGCCCTCTCCCCCAGGGTCAGCCCTCCCCGGTGAGTCACCCCCTGATTCCCCTTCCCGTAACGTGGCGGGTTCAGCGATCCAAGAACTTCTGAGTTCCGTCAGAACCCATAAACGCGTTTTGTCCCGTCCAGCAGAGCACTGAACTTGGCGGGGCCCAGCGCCACGGCCGTGGCCACGAGTCAAGAAAAACCCGCTTCTGGAGCGTCAAAACATCTCCCAGGAGTTCCAGTGGAGGAGGGCTGGAAAATGGGCGCCTACCCGGAGCACAACCGTCCTTTGTCATAAACAAAACACCATAAAAAGCTCGTAATTATCCCACTCTTACGGTAATTATTTCACATTGGCATTATAAACACGCCAGCCCATCGGCCGAGGGAATTTATCCATACTGGATAAATTGGATACGTTGGCAGAGTCAGGCACATGTGGATTAATAACTCACCCAAGGCCACACACAAGGAGCGTTATCAGAGTCAGGATCAGAACACCAAAAGCCTTGGCTCAACTTCTTTTTCTCTTTAAACTCCCCTTTTTCTTTTTAAATTTGGGCTTCGCCACAAGAAGGAAAACACAAGGTCTGAATTTATTATTCCTATAGGCACCGGGTTCTCAGGGGTCACGGCACTCACACAGCCCTGACGTCCCAAAGAACCCGCCCAAAATCCCGACGAGGAGCCGACCCCTCATTCAAACCCACTTCAAGGTCAGTGGTTGTGGCCGAGGTGGAACTTGGAGCTTTGAGGAAAAAACAAGTCAGAGGTTTTCCAAGGGGTGATGCAATGCCCACCACGAATCCTGATGGATCATTCCAGGAGATCTTTACTCCACCTTTACCCAGCTTTGACCTTCTTCCCCTTTGCATCTCACCAAACCTTCAACAAACATCCAGAAACACAGAGCTCACAGCCCCCTCATCTGATAAACCAAATATATCAAGTTCCTCAAGCCTTGTAAATCCTGTTTCCAACCCATAATTCCGGTAAAGATTCAAAGTGTCACATCTCTGTATGAGAAAACCATGAATGACTTCAAAACTATCAGGACAATCTCTGTATAAAAGCCTAATGCTGAGAGGCAAGTATTGTGCTGCATGAAGTGGAATAAAACAGAATAAAATTAACACCTGCCGTGAGGATGTTCAGCAGGATTCAGGACAAGGCTCAATTGGAATTTTTTGCCTGAGCTGTTCTACTTTACCTCCTGTGAAATGCAGCAGCTGGGGAGGAGAGGTCAAAAGATTAATTAAAATTTTTATTTAGGAGATGGCACTCCCAGCAGAGGTGTTCTCTAATTTGCCAGAGGTAAAAATAGCTCCCTCTGCTCCAGATTTTGGCTGTAAGAAAATTCATTCCTTTAGGACACCCTAAAATCACTGGAACTGATTTCACATGAAGATTTATTTAACTCCTTCCTGCCCAGACCTACGAAACCACAGGAGTCTCCAAAGGATCCTGAGCAGCATTTCCTGAGTAGCCCAGGGAATGGCTGGAGCTGTGCCAGGGCAGGCTCAGGGTGGATCTCAGCAGAAGGTTCTTCCCCCAGAGGGTGGTTGGCACTGCCCAGGCTGCCCAGGGCAGTGGGCACAGCCCCAAGGCTGCCAGAGCTCCAGGAGGGTTGGGATGATCCTTACAGAGACAGGGTGGGATTGTTGGGGTGTTTGTGCAGGGCCAGGGGCTGGACTGGATGGTCCTGGTGGGTCCCTTCGAGCTCAGAATATTCTGGGATTCTCCTTACGAGCCACACAAGACCACAGGGGTTTAAAATCCACCCCATGTGACAACACAAAGATCATTCCCCTCCAGGAGGAAGAATTTCTAGTCCTTTCTTTGTGACAGTAAAAAGAGCACATTTACCCTGAAGGTGGCCAGGCCCTGGCACAGGTTGGGTAGAGAAGCTGTGGCTGCCCCTGGATCCCTGGAAGTGTCCAAGGCCAGTTTGGAGCAACCTGGGCTGGTGGAAGGTGTCCCTGCCCGTGGCAGGGGTGGGACTGGATGAGCTTTATGGTCCCTTCCAACCCAACCCGCTCTGTGATTCCCTGAGTTGTGCAAACCACACGAAGTTCCCAAGCTGACAGACACTGGGCACACAAACCCACGGACACTCCCTGTTCCTAAATTTGCCCAGGCAGCCCAACATCACTTCATTTTGGGGGCAGGTACTTTGCAGTTGTCTCGTGGAAGCAACAACCGCTCCCAGCAGCGCTGTGTGCTCCACAGAGCACATCATTAATTTACCTTGGTTTGCTACAGGAAAATAACCCAACAGCCCAGAGGTCCAGGGGGGGCTCTGAGCCGTGTCCAGCTCAGGCAGCTCCCGCTCTCCAACCCTCCGGCACTCGCAGCACTCGGGAAAACGCTGACTCTGCACTTTCTCCCTCCCAGCCACGGTGAGGAACAAGCTCTCCTTCCCAGATTTGCAGCAGGGGCAGCCAAAAAGGGAGAGAGGGAAGGCAGAGAGTTCTTTCTGAGGGCCATGTAATAGTTTCCTGGTAATTATCCCCCTTCCCTGCTCCCGGGGCTGCGCCGACGGCGGCGGCTCCGACCTCGCAGCCAATAAATAAAACCTTCAGGAACAGCCTTAAAATCGTGTACTGAGCACAGGAGCGACTTCACCTCCCTGCAAGGGCTCCTTTCATCTTTCCAAGGATCCCACTGAAGCACAAACCTTGCCCTGGGAACCTGCACTGCTCGGGCTTGAGCGAAGACACGGGAATTCCGCAGCGCTCTCCCTGTCACCCAAAACCAGGGACACCTGAGCCACCACAGGTGGAGCCAATTCCGTAACAAATAAATGAACTTTCATTTTACCCCCATTTTTAGGCTCTCAAAGGGGCACCTCCAATGCCTGGCTACCAAATAAGGCAGAATTTCTCAGGTGACATCGTTGCCAACTTGGTATCAGGGGCAGAATAAATTTCTGATTTGAGAGACCTTCACCTTCTACCATTTGGAGGTTTTGCACTTCCCCAGCAACTTCTAGCCCCCACCTGTGTCCCACCCTCACTACACCCCAAATCCTGCCAGCCAGAAAGCAAATATTCAGCTGGACATTCAGAAAGGCAAATAATCCTCAACAAGTCTTTAATTTAAGGT